AGCAATTTGCTGCTTTTCATTGCTTTCCATCCAAGTCAATGGAGGTCACACAGGTTACTGCTGTACACTCAGGATGTATTATTGCTTTCTGTCTGCACTTTAATTGTTTGGCTGATGCCCATACATTTTTCACACCTTTTTTAATCTGCATCTCTAATCTTCAGCATTGCATTATTAAGATGAAGTGTCAAGTAAAAAAAACTTTTACAAAGGATGAAAACATCTGCTTTGGATGGATAAAATATATGAGTAAAAAATGAAAAAGGGTTAATTCACCAAGAGGGGAAAATGAAAATACTGTCGGGAGAAGGAGAGCTGAAGTTTGGCTTTATGATCAATGGCTAGTGGGCTAATAGACTCACCCAAATATTTATGGGAAATTTCACTGGTACGGAATGAGGGAGGAAAACACCAAACAACTGAAATAAATCTCTTTTCCCTCTTATTTCAAAGCTAATATAACTGTGCCAGTATCAACTCAAATAGCTGGAATATAAACACGACGGTGAGTAAACGATGGCAGAAATGTCATTTTTGGCCAAAATGTGTGTTACATAAGAACAAATGAAAGATGTGAGTGCAGCGGTGTGAAAAACATCAAGCCCTTGAGTTGATTTGATGCATGCCTGTGCTGTTTTTGAGTCAATCAGGCGTGAGTGCTCTCACAGTCAGTTAACCGCTGAAAGTACGGTCAAATGCATTAAAACTCAAGCAGGTGTAAATGATCACAGATTAGACTAAAACTGTGGTATCTGGTTGAATTTAAAACTTCATTTAATGCCAAATTGCAGAATTATGGGTAAATAGTATTAGTCAGCAGTTAAAAGCAATTTTCTGATTTATACACTGGTCTTTTGTAAAAGGAGGAATCAATGTTTACTAATGATTAGGGACATGCAGGCACACTGCTGGAAGAACAACGGCTTAATTATGGGCTATTTTACAGCGCAGAGGTACAGCAGCTACCAAATGAACAATTAGTTCATTTCTGGGCATCTCACTGGTGCTTTTACTTGGAATTAAATTGCCTATTTTTCCATTTCCATGCATGAAATATATAGGCCATTATTTGACTTTTAAATGTGCATTGATAAAACACAGACACACTTGTAGGATTTGTCTGTTTTACAGCTTCTCACAATTCTGACACGAATGCACAAAGTACAGATGATCTCCAGAGATGCATCTTAAACTGCTAACACATTCGGGAAAGAGTGTATGAAGAACATAAGGTTTTAACGGGAGAAACTGGGAGAGAAATGTAGCATTGCATCACTTGCTAAGCAAAGGATGCTCTGCAGCGAATGGGTGCCGTCCGAATGAGAGTCCAAACAGCTGATAAAAACATCACAATAATCCACAAGTAATCCACACCACTCCAGTCCATCAGTTAACATCGTGAGAAGTGAAAAACTGCATATTTGTAAGAAACAAATCCATCATTAAGGCATTTGTAACTTTAAACCATTGCTTCTGGCTAAACTATGAGTCCTCTATACATAATATTGCTTTCTTCAGTGAAAAAGTGTTCTTATCTGAATCAGGAGAGAAATATGCAGAGATCAAGCACTGTTTACAAGTGAAGTTATTATTATGTGGGTGTTACAGTGGAATATTAGTGGACTCCTGTTTTGTTCAGAAGTGATGCTTTAAAGTTAAAACATTTCGATGGATTTGTTTCTTAAAAACACGCAGTTTTTGGCTTCAGAAGACATTAATTGATGGACTGGAGTCGTGTGGATTATTATATGTGACCCTGGAGCACAAAACCATTCATAAGTAGCGCGAGTATATTTGTAGTAATATACAGGTGCATCTCAATAAATTAGAATGTCGTGGAAAAGTTCATTTATTTCAGTAATTCAACTCAAATTGTGAAACTCGTGTATTAAATAAATTCAATACTGAAATAAATGAACTTTTCCACGACATTCTAATTTATTGAGATGCACCTGTACATTGTATGGGTCAAAATGATCCGTTTTTATTTTATGCCAAAATTCATTAAGATATTAAGCAAAAATCACGTTCCATTAAGATACGGCCAAATATTGTCCTATCCTAACAAACCATACATCAATGGAAAGCTTATTTATTCACCTGACCCTCATGACTGGTTTTGTGGTCCACGGACACATATTACTTTTTCTTTCTTTACAGAAATATTTGCAACCCATTCAGAAGGAAAACTGAACAAAACTTTTACACATCTATAGTTTTATGATGATGATGATCCTGATCGCTGCATGATAAAAATCCCATGCAGCCATCTGAATCGTGTTTGAAACCAGTACATTTAGGATGCCAGAGCTGCGTTTTCTATAGAGGAAGAGTATGGAACGACTCAGAATGGGCATCCGCTCCATAACCAACACTGCTAAAAATAAATGAGGTGCTGGAAAAGATCTGATTTTACACCTCAATAATAGCATATTATGACCTCTGAATGGCACATACACACAAACACGGTGAAATTCTCAAAGTCACACCTAAATATCTGTGACAGGTCATCTTCTGCCACACAAGCACACACACACACAAGCACGCACACACACACACACACGCACGCACACACACACACACACACACACACACACACACACACTCTTTCTTTCATAATAAATTTTACTTTTAAACAAAACTGCAATAATGCTTTCATCCTTATTCTTCATCTGTCTTCCAGTCTAAATAAAGACTTTCAGTGCGACACAGGACAAAGGACTGCATTAGGATTATGTAAATAGATGAATAATATTAGCCTTTTGAACCAGCTCAATCTCTCAGTAAAAGATCAAGTGACTGTAAAACACTTCACTGACAGAGAGAAACAGATGAGGACATTATACTCAAACTCCAAGCTGCTTTATCTGGTTCCTGGAATAGACTGTTTACAGTATATAACTTCAGAGGTGCTGTGGTTTTGCTGCGTGGAGGCTGTATTTATATCAAAGTGGAACACCAGCGAGTTTAGATGCTAACCGTGGATCAGGGTGAGTATTATTGTGTGAAATAATGCCCACAGTTCGGTGACTCATGCATGATTCTCTTCTGTTTTGTCATGAGCGCTTACGGCAAACACAAATTTAACTGTAGGGTTGGATGACTACACTGCAAAAAAAAAAAAAAAAATCTTTATCTTTGTCTTGTTTTTCAGTAAAAATATTTAAACATGCAGACATGTTTTTATTATTTTTTTTATTTTTTATAAAGAAATCAATATTTTTATTTAGCATGGGTGCTTTTAAATTGATCAAAAGTGACTGAGAAGACATTTATAATGTTACAAAAGATTTCTAATAAATTCTGTTCTTTTGAACTTTTTTTCTACTCATCAAAGAATGTGTAAAAATGTATCACAGTTTCAACACTGATAATAATAAGTAATGTTACTTGAACACCAAATAAATATTAGCATAATTTACATGGTAGTGTATCTTTAATTATTGTTTTTTGGATTTGTATTTTTTTAAAGGGGTCATATGATGCGATTTCAATTTTTCCGTTTCAGAAAGGCGGGGCATAGAGGAGAAACAATAATGTACAGTATGTGGAAAATAATGTGTTTTTTTAACTTTAAACCGCATAAACACATTTCATTACACCAAATACACAAAATAATGTTCTTTTTAGCAACGTCATATGACCCCTTTAACAATTTGATTCAATTTGATTATATTTACGTTTTAAGTAAATGTTAGGCCTAGTGTTATTGTTATTTAGATGTTTAAATATTTAATGTTTAAATAGTTTTCCTGGAAAAGGATGAAAATTATGATAAATAAAGTGATTATTTTTGTGGCATGATTATACCTGTATCGATTTTTCTCTTTTTTCCATCTTGTGCTTTTACACTCAATGATTTATTCCTGTATTCGACTTTTTTTTTTTTGTATTATGTTGGTTATGCGGTGTGTGTTAAACAAGTGCAGTGCTGTGGAAAAGAATTTCCCCCTTGGGGACAATTTTTTGTTTTTTTAAATGTTCATTACTGGTACCTTCTATTCAACCCACTGATCCATTTATTTATTTATTTTTTCTTTCTTTTCTGGAGAAAAACTTTAAAAAGTTTTCAGTTTTCACATAAAGTCTCTCAGTGTGGTGACACTAGTCTTTATTTATTGCAAGGGCAAGTGGAAAGTGCTTTTCATTATGGCAGCTTATTTCAAGGGCAGGGAAATTGCTGTGCTAAATATATAACAAGAATATTGAGTTACATTCATAAATGAATGAAAGTGGCATGTTAGAGGAGAAAAGGGGCAGATAGTCGAACAATAACCGTCACATTAGCAGTCCGGGCCGACAACTGCCTCAAGGTGCCTTTTCAAATGACGACCATGTCAAGATGAATGAACAATAACCGGGCGAAACTGTGAAAACATTTCAAAGGATAAACAGAGCAATACACTCATGTGGTTACCATGGCCATCTTTGCTGCATCACTGATTATGATTATTGGCAAAAAAAAACAGCTAATGTCATCATGTTTAGTTGTTTTATACTCATTAAATTAACATTTGGTATTGCATCATTTACAGGGATGTGCAACATTCAAAATTAAGAGAGTCTATTATATTTTAGCAAACAAAAATTGTGAAGGAAAGTTTAAATTATGCATTTTATTTTCAGTATGAATTACTCATGAACAGGTTAACATACACTGCCGTTCAAAAGTTTTGCATCAGTACGATTTTTAATGCTTTTTAATGGAGTCTCTTATGCTCATCAAGGCTGTATTTATTTGATCAACAATACAGAAAGAAAACAGTAATATTGTGAAATATTATTGCAATTTCTAATATTGGTTTCCTATTTTAATATACTTTAAAATATCATTTATTTCTGTGACGCAGCACTGAATTTTCAGCATCATTACTCCAGTCCTCAGTGTCACATGATCCTTCAGAAATCAGTATAATATGCTGATTTATTATCAGTGTTGCTTAATATGTTTTGGAACCAATCTTTTGAACGGCAGTGTACAAACAACATATTGGGGTATTTTTAAAAACACTGGATTATAAGTAATCAATGTGTGACAATATTGAAATCTATGTTTTTAATGGTGTTAACTGCTTTCACATTATTAAACTGAAGTCCCCATGTCCTCCCATCCAGTAGAGGGCGCTGTTCTCATGTCTCTGGGTTGCAGACAGATGGACGGAGTCGTCCAAACTTCACATGAAAGTCATTTTCGGCCCTCACCAGTGCTTCTTCATCGATATAGACTGCCGCCCTTCTGGCAGTGAGGAAGTACTGCACTTTCCTGGGTCTCCAGCCTAACACATACATCAGGAGTCCACACACGGCCGCAGTGGAACGTCCCACTCCTGCGTTACAGTGAACATACACTGTGTGACCGTTCTCCAGCAGTCCATAGAGCAAGAACACGGCCTGCGGCAGCATCTGTGTGCGACCTGCAGAGGGCAAAATTACAATACATATATCCAACAATAGAGGCTCTTTTTTTAGTGTTAGTAGTCTACACATTAAAACAAATCAATGCCTGACCTTCTGTGCTCATGTCTGGAGTGGGGATCCAGATGTACGAAAGGCCACAGTCTTTGTACAGGTGTGTCATGGTCTCTGGGCTCATGGGTTGACTGAGGTCACGCCGGCAGCCATGTGAGTTGTTTACGACGTCCCATTCTGTCTGAAAGTTCATCACTGCTGTAACACCCAGTTCCTGTTTCAGCTTTAGGGTTACATGTTCGACCCGTCGAGGGCAGCTGCCCAACCAGACACGTGGCAGCACCCTAAGGAGAAGAGAGAGAGGAAACTTAGCAAACCAGCGACGGCCCATCAGAGGAGGAAAATGTATTGAATATAACAACTGAAGAGGTCAAATGTGCAAAAGTAAAAGTATTTTTTTTAGTAAAACATTATTTTGGTAACCCACTTTACTTAAAGCCTTTATGTATAGTGCATAAGTAGTTATTATTAATATTATAAAAGTAATGCACTTGTAATGCAACTTTTAATGCATTGTACAATCTCATTAAATAATTGTAACCACAGTTAATACATTATAACACTTATCAATTCATTGTTACACTATGCATTTTAAATTTGGTTATAATTATTTACGACAAGATATAATGTATTACAACGCACATTATGAAAAATTGTAATGCATTATACCCTTTAATAACCCTTTATAATGCATTATACATAAAGGCTTTAAGTAAAGTGTTACCATTATTTTTTATTGCATGGTAGACCAGAGATCATCTGTGTATAAGAGTGTACTGAGCAGCAAATAAACATAACAATTAAACCGACTACAATTTTGTATTGGTTTGATCAATATTGTACTCTTCCCTGGAAAATTCCCTCATGTGTCCCCGGTGTAACATACGATCACCTGTGCTTAATAGTTATATCATGAGATCCCAGAGCAAGGAGGGGAAATAGATGTGGCAGTTTGATAGGGGAGATCATAAAACATATAGTGTATTTAAAAAAAAAGTGACAGTGTTACTGCATAGTGATTTACTTTTTAGTGCCTTTTGCCATTGAAACAAACCCCTGACCCTTCGTATTCATCTTAGGACTGCGAACTGAAGGGGTACATTTCCAATCCCCTCCTCTTCTATTATATACTGAATACGTAACCATAGTTTTCTTAAAAAACAATGTATCTATTCTAGTTTTTATGTTACAAGCAATTTCTGTAATTAGTATCTGAGAGCTTACTGAGAGTCTGACCCATGTCAGGAACGCAGTAGCAGTGTTTACTCATTCAGCCCGACTTTCAGAGAATAAATACGTATTTGTTTTGGAATAATTAATCTGAATCATTATATAATCAAATGTTATATTGTATGGAAAAAGTGTTATAAATTGGAACTTTTAACTATTCTGTGTGTCTGAGACATGTTAAAACCAACTGTGCCTTTAGGGCCAAGAAGGTCACTAACGCACCACATGTATCCAGCAACTCTTATGCATGCTTAACGTTTATGATTCTTTTTAGTTGCTATATATGTTAACCTATGACAGTGACTCATGTGTAGAAGTTTGTCTCAGTGTACTGTGTGAATGTATTGTTCTGTTCCAGTGATGTTCTGCAGCTCAACCTTGAAGGGAAAAGATATTGCCTATGTTTTATCAAATGGTGTATTTGCATATTGGTAGCATATTGGTCTCTCTATGGGCTGTAACTGTAACTGTAACTGTAAAGGAAAGGAAAGGAAAATGTGACAGGACATTCATGAAAGAATAAAACGAAATGAAACAAAACAAAACAAAACAAAAAAAGACAGGACAAATGAATAGGAAAAGGAAAGTAAATAATGGGACAGAAAAAGACAAGACAAGGAAAGGAAACGAAAGGAAAGGAGAAGAGAGGAGATCGTTTTAAATGTACATTTTCAGTGTCTATCGTTTCTGAGACAGCCATGTCAGCAGGGGTCTCTCCCTCTCTTGTGTAAGTGAGAGCTCCAGACTCAAATAATGGAAATGCTAATGAGTGTTTAGTGGTGTGAGGACACAGACTGACAGCCAGGGGAATGAAGGCAGGAAGGTCAGAGACATCAGGTGAGAGATGTATTTTTACCTAAGAAACCCACATGCCTCTTTGAGGGAAAAGAATAAATGAGATGATTGAAGGGAAAGTGAATTTGCTGCAGGTTAATGGTCTGAAGCATTGAGTGTGATCTATCCTCTGCCCAAAATCTTCTGCAGGGCAGGACGCTTGGTTTGATGTCAAAGGCAATGACATGTATATATTTTTCCTCTGTGGCCTAAGTGTCCAAATGCTTTTTGGTGCTGCTGTACACGATGTGAGAGGTGTGTGCAATGCATTCCTTCTCTGTAAATGACTTGTTTGTGTGTGTGTGTGTATTTGAGAAGTGGGCACGTGTAGTGCATTTTAATTGAGCAAAGGTGAGAAGTACAGGTTGTGCTTAATTAGTGGTCAAAGACCTAACAAGGTCTACTTGATTCTGGAGAGAAAAAAAGGTCCTTGTATTTTTCCTTGGGACTTTGTGCATTCAACTGCCAGAGTTTATTTTACACTCTCCATTTGGTGTGAATCAGACTTTGTAATGAATACACACAGACACTGTTTCCTGAGTTTTACGGTTGTTAGTTTCTTATAGAGTCAATGACAGACTTATGTGGGAGTGAACAGTAGGAACATTGACTCTTTTGTAAATATAGAAAAATCTGACACAAGAAAGATCAGCTTTGTAGTTCTTGTAGTTCATTTTTCTGTTGAGTTCTCAGTCCTGTCATTGAAGCTTTTGTAATTCCACAGTCTGTGACCGAGCCCTTCCTTCAAGCCTTGGTGAGAAAGACATGCACTTAATTGTATTACATGAGCACTTCAAATTTTATGTATATTAAATAATAATAAAAAACTGTACTTGCAGATAATATAATATTAATTAAATAAAATACACTTAAAATTAAGTCTGTTTCTTAACACTTAAGTACATAAAAAAAAAAAAATGCACTTTGTAATGTCAATTAAAAGTATTTAAAGTAAATTTTAAATCTTTATGTTTTAATAATCTTTTGTCATTCTTTCAAGAAGTTCACTTATTTTGGTGTGTTGACTAACATACTATAGCACATGTAAAGGACTTATAATTTTAACTGCAGTGTGTTATTTGATATTACACTTAAAAGTTTCACAATTTGAGTTGAATTACTGAAATAAATGAACTTTTCCACGACATTCTAATTTATTGAGATGCACCTGTATTCTATCCCCCGGTTTCACAGACAAGGCTTAAGCTAGTCCCAGACTAAAATACATGTTTGAGCTGTCTCAACTGAAAATATCTTGCTCTGACATATCTTAAAAAATTTAATAGAAGTAGACACAAATGAGACATGAGAAATATTGAGAAAAAAAAGTCAAAACTGAGAATGTGTTGGAAGAAACATAGAATATGTCTTTATTGTCTTGCTCAAGACTCCAATATTGAAATATTTTATTGCTCAGTGGTTGCTCTTTCTAAGCTCATGAGACTTAGTTGTGATTCTCATGCCTATTTCTCATTTTAGTCTCAACAGTGTCTCAGATGTTTCTTCTAAAAATCTGTAGGATAAATAAAAGTAGACAACTGAGACATGAGAAATATCTGAGAGAAAGGAACCCAAAATGACAATGGGAGAGAAACGTGTGAGAAACATGGGAGATGTCTTTATTGTCTTGCTGTAATCTCTTGCACTATAAAAATGTTTTACTACTAAGAGGTTGCTTTTTTTGTTTTCACCTTTAATGGTCAGGACAGTAGGAGTAGAGACAGGAATCAGTTGGACATGTGAGAACTGAACAGGAGCAGGAAAGTACCTTTAGCTGGGATTTGAACCCATGTTGTCTGAGGTGCAGTTGTGTCTTCACGTCGATGTGCTGCTCACAAGGCTATGGCTTTGACAGAGCTTAGTCAACGCTCAGGATACTAAGGGCTGATTCTCTTATATGTCTCACTGAAATATCAGCTTTGTCTTAAGATGTCTTTAGTTTTATTTTAGGAGAAACTTTAAACTTTTACTAATATTGTAAATACTGAAACTATCACTTAAATAGGATTAAACATTTCAGAATATCAAGGGTTAAATGTTTAAATTTATCTTCAATGTCCAGCATTGTATTCACTAAAAAATCCTGGGTTATTTTTTTAACCCTAATGCTGGGTTGAGCCCTTTGGGTCATTTGTTTGGGTTATTTTTTCAGTGTTTGGGTAGTTTTTGTGTTTCCCAGCTCCTGGGTCAAATGTAACAACCCAGTGTTTGGGTTGCTTTGCAGCTCCTGGGTCAGACATGACATAACCCAATGTTTGGGTAGTTTTTGTTTAACTCAAATCCGGGTCCAACCGTAACCCAGGGCTGAGTTATTTATCGCGGGGATTTTGCATCTTCTCTTCACGAGAGAGCAGTACTAAGCGCCATCGCATTGATGCATTCTATGGTAAAATAGCTTTGCAGCTCCTGGGTCAGACATGACATAACCCAATGTTTGGGTAGTTTTGTGTTACTCAGATCCAGGGTCAGACGTAACCCAGCGGTTGAGTTATTTATCGCGGGGATTTTGCATCTTCTCTTCACGAGAGAGCAGTACTAAGCGCCATCGCATTGATGCATTCTATGGTAAAATACAGGTTTGTGTACATTTTATTCTATCTATAAAATCGTTACTGTGCTGTATATCGTAAAATTTTATGCAGAGCAACATACAGGCGCGCGGTGTGAGTCACCTTTAACGAGTGTCGCGGTCTTTTCGAGTGATGGAAAAGCCTGATGCTTTGCATAAAATAAACAATTTTA